CAAAAAAAAAAAAAAAAAAAAAAAAAAAAAATGGGACTTGTCAGCACAACCTTCTCTTCAATAGGAATATATGATTTAATGTTAATTCTTTTAACATTATGCATCATATATACAAGTTACTTTTATATTAGTTATTTTACACGTGAGAATCCATTACCTGGTCCAGTCCCTTTACCCATCATTGGTAATATCTTGGATAAAGGTTTCGATGATTTCGTTGATTACACGGAACGTATGAGAAAAAAGTACGGTGACATGTTCGAAATTTATTTTGGACAAACCAAGTTCATCATGTTGAGTAAATTCGAATACATGCAAAATATGTTTGACGGTTCATCGAATTCAAAATACCTGAGGCGTGTTCCATACATACCCGGTTTGGAAGAATTAAATATTTCGGGGAAAGGGGTCGCGTTTAACCATAATGTAAATATTTGGAAATATAATCGACACTTCATTTCACGAGCGTTACTCACCCCTAGTTTCTCCAAATCTGCTGTCGTTTGGACCCAAAATCTAGTTGAGGAAATGATGGGCTTTTGGGAAGATGGATCTAATAATGATGGTTGTTTTGAAACCGACATCGTAGAATGGTGTCATAGGTTCACAACGGACTCTATAAATCATTTCACAACCGGGAGGAGAATTCATATAATCGAAGCACATTACAATGAATTGTTGGCATCACAAAATAGGAAACCAAAAATACCTTCCAAGAATGATTTGCGTGACGCCACGATATTTTTTAGGAGCTTTAAAACTTTCATTATTGGAATTTATTTCTTCATAGTCGTCCCACCTTTGGTTCGAAAATATTTCCCAATCTTGGGCAATGCATCAAAAAATCATTTAAATAATCGTGACTGGTTGTTTGGCTTCCTTGATAAGATTATTAAACAGAGAAGGAAGGAGATTGAATATATCCCTCGAAACGAGCCTCTTCGATTTGACATGTTGACCTCTATGATAACCGCTAATACGGACCGTGATATTTGTGAAATTAAAATGGTCGATGAAGAACATACACAACCCTTGAGCGACGAAAAGATCCGTGGCATTTTATGGGAAACAATGGTCGGTGGAATTGATTCGGTACGTTTTTAATAATACAAATGAAAAATTTTATACGTGTATAAAATTAATTAATTAATTATCTGTTCATATATTTTAATATAGACTGCAAACACGTTTAGTTTTGTCGCTTATCACTTGGCACATAATCCTGATGTATTAAAGCGACTTCGAGTTGAGCTGGACTCATTCTTTGAAAAAAAGGGCGATCGACGGCTCGATCTTGAAAGTTTAACGGGTTTAGTTTACACTGACGCAATCATCAAAGAAGCATTTAGAATTTTCACACCTGCACCATACACCGCACGAAATAGCACCGCTGAAGATATCGTGGCAGGACGTGTATGGCCCGAGGGAACACAATATATCATAAATATTCATGGGGTAAATCACAACGAGAAATATTGGGATGAACCTGAAAAATTTAATCCCGACAGGCATCTCAATATGAAAATGTCACCCCCACATATAATATTTGGAGGAGGTCGTAGGATTTGTCCCGGCAGGAAGTTGGCATTCATTGAACTCAAGGTCATGATTGCCTTAATTTACCATAAATTTGACATTGAGCTATCGAACATGAATCCTCGCATAAAATTCATACTTTTTAGAAGTTTTCACGATTTAAATGTCAAAATTAAACCTAGAAAATTTTAAAGAAATACAATTTAATTTAATACAGCATAATCATTTTAAGGGTGATGATCGATACCGCGCTCGCTGTTCTTACCTCGGGCCAGAGAAGACTGCGGCTACGGTTATTGATATATATATATTTTTTAAATTAATTTCTTAATAGAGATTGGAGACAGGCATAATAATGAATTTCTAGTAAATTTATTTATGTGACGGTACGTTCTCCAATCTGATATTAAGCCACCATTATTCTTGTACATCATTTATTTTTATTTGTATAAATAATCCTCAATTCCATTAAAACAAATCATAATAAATCAAATATTTCAAATTTTATAAGCATTTCCAAACATCAATTAAAACTAGCAATTTAAAAGTGGAAGAAATCGAAGAAGTATAAAGATTCTTTCGGAATGTACGGTGAATGAAGTGGCGGATATTTTGACATTTACAGCATTATATCTAAAAGTTTGATGAGACTATTATATATAAATGCAAAGAGCAAAATGTTGTTTAAATGTGTAAGCTAAGAAATTCTGACGCAACCATGAAATTATTTTCATCAAACATAACCATTCATTAAAGAAAAAATTCAATCATAAATTGTAGTTTGTCAGAATCACTCAATATCTTTTTCTCTTTTTTTTTTTTTTAAAAGAAACAAAGTAAATTTCATCTCTAGAATATGTTGACGTTGAAATTTTCAAGCGCACTGCGTAGCGTTCGATTTCCATTTTTCGTTGCATATTTTGATTAATCATACCATCATCGTTTACTAAGCCAAAGTCCTCCCATTGTTCTGAAATCAAATATCCCACATATCGAGAATTAGAAATTCTATTGGCACGAAAGAACTTTTTTAAATTGTTCAAAAATGTAATTAAACTGGCGCACTGATTTATTTGTCACATAAAAAGTAATTTTATTTTTAAAAAAAAAGAATATACAACTGTCTAACGATTTTTAATGTCCATTATGTTGACTACATTATTTAATAATCAATTAAGACATTGTAATCGAATTTTGATAGTTATAAAATTTATAATTCATCCGTAAACCAAAATAAAAAATTAAAAAAAAATAAATCTTACTGCAGTAAACCAAAAAATGGATTTGGAGTTAGGAACAGTATTCAAAACCTAGAATATATGCTTGAATACTTGATTATGAGTCCGAAAAAAATAAAATAAAATCAAAAGTTTGTAAGCGTTAATAACAAATAAAAATATAATTATATTAAATAAAAAAAATATATGATTAATAATTATAATTAAACTAAACAAAAGAAAAAAAAAGCATAACCATATTAGATCTCGAAAAAAGAACCTAATAAATTTAAATAAGAAAAGTCAGCATTTAACACCATGCTGTCGTATAATTTTATCGAAAAAGATCTTAAAGGCAAAGAACTGTACACAGCTGATGTAATTCCAAAAGACATTTACAATGACAAACACCACTAGTAAAAATATTCACACCATTATACTTCCAAATTGAATGGTAAGTGTCTCCAAATTTTTTACCTCTCGAAAAAGATTTACAGTTTATTTCAGTTGAAAAAATATGTTTCTGGACAAGCTATCAATTACTTTATCAAATAAAATTATTTTTCTTCATCACTAGGGTTGGATCGGTCCTAGTAAGACCGATCATGGACCGGTTAATTGAACCGGTCCCGCGGTCCTCGGTCTATATACTGAAGACCGGTTATTATATTGCAATTTACAGTAGCGGTCATAAGTATCCGACCCCTCATAATTCTTAAAGTTAATTAATAATATCTATTAAATTTTTTTTAA